CTCTCTTTTGGCCAAAATGCGGAAATGTTGCAGCATGATGTCGCAGCTGTATGGGTGTTCGCTGCTCAGTTTCCCGGGCCATATCTTTTGTGGTCTGCTAATCCCATCGCCTCCCATCGGCGGACATCTTCATCAGGCTAGATTAAAAGCAAATTGGTTGGCAAGCTTCGCTCTCGCTTGGCCAAAAGTGATTTCGGCCCTGACCATAAAAATATTTGCCGCGGCAATCAATTATGATCTGGCTGCAACGGTGTGAGCCTGGTTTAAATGCATCTGTGTGAAGCACACCGAGGAAAAATTAGGGATAGTTAAGTTGCGTATTTACACAGGATAATTATAATAAATTACCGAAGAAAATTAGGCAGAGTATTGTTGCATATTTACACAGGATAATTATAATTATTTGTGGCTTCAACACTAATTTTTGTAATATTGGTTTCATATTTTCAATCTAAGAAACATTTCAATTTAACTGAAAGTCTTTACAAAATCGAATCATACTTATTAAAAGACAACATCTTCTGGTTTCAACATTATTGAAATTGCATACATAATTAAGAGATATTATACCCCGCAATTGGCTAATTATTGAATTTAATAAAGACTTACAATCGTTGCATTATTTGAACATAACTTAAGTTGCATTTCCACCTGTAAACATACATACTACTACCATTATATACATATATGTATGTCTTTTAAATTTTTGAAATAAAAATATATTGATGGTCTGATAGTAACATTTCAAGCGCTGAAAGAAAGCTTACCATTATTTTTCATCTAAATGTATATAATTAAGAACTATTTTAAGAACTATAGTATACAGTCAAAGGCATAATCTAATCCCATAATTCGGAATATTAAAATGTAATCCCACTTTAAAATTTTCCATACCTTATCTTCCTTGTTCATCTCCATATAGATAGGGTATCTGCATCCAGTGCCTCGTGGTGTTTAAACCCGCTTATCGGCCCGACCACACCTTTCGTTGTACTGGGTCTTGTGACCTTTGGCAGCCTTGACAATTGCCGCCTTCGACTCTGCCCCTGCATTTGCCTGTGCCTCAAGTTCAAGCCCGCTGGCAAACCTGAAATTGCCACATGCGGTGAAAGTAAAAATTCATAATTTTACCCCCGTCCCCGGCGCAGTTGTAAGCATTTTACCCAAAGAGGCCATAAAAATGGCAAGCCAACTGCGCTCCGCTCGGAGGAGGTAATAGCAACACTGCAACACCATTGAAAACGGCGTTGGTGGCAAGACCAAACACCAAATGCAACACCAAATGCAATGGCATGCCGTTTTCCAAGCCCCTTTTTACCACTTCATTAGCCGGCGAGCGGGTCGAATTCGGTTGTCGGTTGTTTTTGGTTTTTGGTTTTCGGTTTTTAGTTTTCAACTTTGGTTTTCGGGCCTTTCTCTTACTTTCATTCGCTCGGCGAGGAGTTTTCCGAATAATTTTGCCATCAAGGTGTGGGCCGGCCACACATTTTTCTCACCAAGGCTGAGGCCGCGTTGATCATGAACATGACACAATATTATGGATTATGAGGCGCCTTTTTTGCACAGAGAGAAATTTTTACTATTCAACCCTTTGTAAAAAATTCCGTATAATTTTATGATTATTTTTATAATTTAAATAAGTTTTTTAAGAAAGTTCTGTACGGGAAAGATATTTCTAAGAAGAAATATAATATAATTCTAACTTTCTTGATTGCAATGATGGATATGTTCAAGGAACTTGTACTATTCTATGATTTTTCAATGAAATTTTGTAAGAATACAATCTTTTTTATGTTTTAATGTTTATATCTTAACTAAAAATGATTTTTAATACAAAGTACACCATGCAGAAGGGATTTTGAAAAAGTTTATTTTTCTTGTTATGCAGTTTGAATATTAAATATTAAGTTCCTAAAACACCCTTTTTATAATTCTTACTTTCAAAATCACATAATACGGTTATTGATATAAGTTTAAGTCAAAGCACTCATTTTTATTGCTTTCGAAGTTATAAGGATAATTATTTTTATTATTTATAGCAATGCCAATGATTTTATATATTTTTTTAGGTGTATTTATTTTACTGCGGGTTGCCGATTGCTTGCTTTTTCCTGTGCGGCTGCTGGCCAGGGAAAATCTGTTGGTGTGGCAAAAACATTTCAATTTCTATTCGAAATTCGACTGGAGTTCATAACTTAGCGTTTATTTATGAGTTGTCAAGGCGTTCGCTACGTGACTTGTCGGCCTTGTTGGATTTTCAAGTTCAGGGCGCCGGCGCCTCTGGGTATCCCGTTTAGATCAACTTGATATTTATGGGCTTATGCAGAAATTTGTCTGTTCCCAGGCAGGATCTGTTTGGCCAGGGCCCACCCAGGCTAAGGGATTCGATTCGTGGCCCATGAATGAACAACTGCAGGCGGGGGAGGACATTCAATATGGATCCTGGCAGCCTTGAACTTCAGCAGCTCGAAAACTGGATGATCTCAGCAGCTGCTGCTGCTGCTGGCTGCTGCTGCTGCATCATCTTCCAACTGGCTGGGCACATGGGAAAGCTTTTGGCCAGGATCAAATGACTATGGGCAGCTGGAGCCGCTGCCTCAGCTTCCGATTCACACGCTCCCTGCTTACTCAAGTGAGGCCAACAGGCTGCCAAGGGGCTACCAAATTGGCTAACAATTTTCAAGCGGCTGCCGCTGCAATCATTGGATTAATTTTAATATGTCCATGGACTGGGCTGCTTTCGACCTAGCCAGCAGCATCTATGATTATGGGCTCACGGCATCGACTGGCCGACAAACACATGTACATAAATGTAGCAACATTGCTGCCACTGGAATTGCGACCTCTTTGGTGTTGCTGCTGCAGTTGCTGTTGCTGTTGCTGCTGCAGTTGCTGCTGTTGCTGCTGCTGCTGCTGTAGCTGGTTACGAAACCCCAAGAAAAACTTCCGCATTCATTTAAGATCATTTCTGTCGTTTGCTGCTCCAAGTGGTTGTTGTTGCTGCTGCTGCCGGTGCAAGAGTTGCAAGTTGCAACAAGCAGCTAGCAGCAGCAACAGCAACAGCAACACAGCCCCCCTCATTTGGTGTTGCTTGTCTGTTGTTTGCTATTATTAATGCCGTCGCCGCCACCACCGACGTCTCAACTCCCAAGTCCCGAGTCCCCAGTGGTATGTTTTCTTCATTTGCCGTTTTCGCGACTTTATGGATCGGGGAGCAACTGCATCACCAACAGCAACAGCAACACACACTTGGAGCCAGTTCGTCTGCTTCCAAAAGACAAGCGCCCAATTGACAAGGTGTTTTGGTGATTGTCCATACCGGATTGCTGTTCCTCATTGCTGTTTGGGTTGTTTTGATGGGTCTTACTGGGGGGCAGCCGACCAGTCAGCTGATTTGCTACGATTCGATCCAGCTTTCAATGGAAATATCTTGTTTATTTATAAAATGTATTCAAAAACCGCTTCATACATTTAGGATTACTTAATGGGACCAATATAATATATAATATGTCTGTTTTCAAAATTTTTTTTTTGAAAAATTGTGTTATACCATTTTTAAAGGATCTTAAAACCAATTAAGTATGCGATTTTGCATAAAAAGGGGATTACAGCTACGTACATTTTATCTCCCTCAGAACCTTTAGTTTTTGGTACAATTTATTAAAAAGATCTTGAGAATTTTGACCTTGTAATTGTCCTTAAAATCCTTTATCGAATTTAGAAATAAAAATAATAATAAAAGTTTCCAGTGCAAGAATTTGTTAAATCCTATCGCCCTGAATATAAACCCTTACAGACTTTCTTAATCTCTCTACAGACCTTTACAAATTGATGCCCTGCCCCTACCATATGAACCAGATTTAGCAGTAGTCTCCACAAGACAGCATCCAGGAAACCGTTAACCAGTCCTGCCATAATCAGGTCAACTCTTGGTGCGGTCCGTTAAATGGTCAAGAAGCCAGAGAACTTCCTCCAATCCCGAAGATCTTCTTTTTTTCGCTGTTTTTTTTTGGATCGTGCCGCATTGGCAATAAATTCACACTAACGGGGCGAAAATGGGAGAGAAGTCAGCGCAAGAGACTTTTACGTTCATCAATAATAAGTACCGTTAGCCCGGTCAGAGCCAAAGTCTCCCGAGTTGGCCAGATGACCAAAAGTGGCCAGTGTGACTGTCAATAAATTACCCAGAAGCCGAAGCAGAAGCGCACCCAGAGGAGAAGGAGGTGGAACCAAGTTGGCCCGGGAGAACGGCCAAGAACGGGAAGACTCGGCTCCGCAGTGCAGCCAGAAGAAGGCCAACTAGAGGCAACGGTATATTATGCAATCACAGCATGAATGAGACACTCTTGACCGAGTTTCCGAAGCCAGGCAATAACGGTACCACGACACATGCGACAGCTGACAGCAGAGCCAAGTTGCAGGCCCAAGCTCCCCGGAACGAGGCCCAAAGCGAAGAGCATGGCCAAGAAGCGAGTAACGGGTTCTAGGTTCTGTGGGCCAATCTAAAAAGAAGAAGGCTGAAAAGCTGAAAAGAAAAGGCTGTTGATGGGGACTGGGAAGGGGAAGAGGATGAGCCTGAGCCGTTCCATAGATGGCCAACAAGAACTCGAAATGCAGGGCACCCGCCAATTATGCAAACAATGCAGCTGAGAAATGCAGTAATAATAAAAAAGAAATAAAAACCCAAGAACTTTAAGGCCTGCATCCCCACACGGAGTTTCTTATATGTCCAACAAATGGGGCCTATTCACATTCACTATTATGGGATTGTAATACTACTTGAATATCAGTTGGGTGCTTTTTATTTCCTATTTTATCATTTCCAAATCATTTCTTCTATTTTTCTAAAATGCCTTTTCCTTTCTGTATTATATTATTTTGACTGCCGAAGATCTCAAGGATTATCATTTTTGGAATGTCAAATAAACTGGCAGTAACTGTAATATAAGAGCTCTCTTGAAATGGTAATAATATAATACTTATATAAATACAATCTGAAATCATTTTATGGTGCCTTTATTAAGAACAGTGATGTAGTTAGTGGACAGAAAGATAATATTGTTGGATAGGTATAATCATATTAGTGTATAAGTACGGTGTGTGGTATTGGGCAGTACTTCCTCACGACAAATATATACGCTTGAAAGGATTTACTTCTGAAGATGGGTCTTCACAAGGGAAACCAGAGGGGCAGCTGTGGGCATAGCTGGGTGCTCACCGGCACTGCCGGCGATATCGATATGGGTATACTTGATTGGCAGCTTGGAGTCCAGACCATGTTTGTCCAGTCCAGAAGCCATGATCATAAAGGCGGCTGGCACCTGGTGTCCACGAGGAGTCCTCACCGAAGGGGCATTATTGGCCTGCACCAGATCCTCGCCAATCACCTTGCCCGCATTGAAGGCAAAGTCGCTGGGACGGAGAATGGAAATCTCGAAGGGTTCGCCGAAGGTCTGGCCAGCAGCCTGCAGCCTCCTGGCGTGATCCTCGCGGTGGGCCACGCTGTTGTCGATGGCAATCGACTGCCCCTCTCCGGCCGAGATGAAGGCGTGTCCAGTCAAAGTGGCAATGGTGAACAGATGGGGATCGGGGAGATTCTGCTCCACGACCATCTCCTTCATGCGGCACAGAGCATCGGTCATGCACATACGACCCTCGGCATCGGTGTTTCCAATCCTGACATGGAGGCCAGCTCGCGAGGTGATGATCTCATCGGCCACATAGCACTCTTCGCCCACGGAATTGCGGACCATGCACAGGGCCACCACGACATGGACATCTTCGGGCTGGAGTTGGCTGACCACCTGCATGAATCCAGCTGCAGCAGCTGCTCCGCACTTGTCGCGCGACATGCCGGCCATCACACCTCCGGCCTTGATGTCAGCACCACCGGTGTCATAGGTCACTCCCTTGCCGACCAGCATCAGCGTCTTCCTCGCCGGCTTCGGGGGCTTGTACTCCAGGAAAATGATGCGACCGCGGTGACGCTCTACGGCATCTGCAGCCCGGTTCACAGCCGCAAACAGAGGATACTCCTTCTCCAGGACCTTTGAGTCACTAATCACATTCACATTCAGTTTGTCGAACAGCGGCTTGATGTACTTCTCCACCTGGATGGGGGTCATGCGCTCAGGATCCCCAACTCCGATGTCACGGGCCACAAAACGACCAGCCTCCAAAATGAGAGCTTCCTGGAAAATGGACTCCGCCCTCGGATCGTCGATCTGGACACTGAGCGTAGTCACGCGGTTGTCTTTGGAGGTTCCTGCTTCACGCAGTTGAATGGGCTGAAAGAAAAACGTGTTTAAATGGGATTTGTACAATGATTTAATAGCTATGTAATTTATTAATTAAAAACATATCCACACTTACCACATAAAGCTGTTCCAGGGCTCCGAGAACGGTGCAGAGCTCGACCTCGGGGAAACGCTGAACCTTAGGCACAAACAGCAAAGGAGTGCGGAAGCCAGCCTGACGAAAAAAAATTTATTAAATATTTTTGCATAATTATCAGATCCTGTGTTTCAGAATTTTTTATGTTGAAAAGTAAAGTATTCCAGATATATATATAGTATAGTATAGTATAGTTTTATAGTTTGTTTTTAAAAAATCTACTTGGAAACTAAAATTAAGTTCACCAATTGTGGCTTGAACAACAAACATTTTAGTAAAAATACAATTTGTTCAATTATAAAATCTCCAGTTGTGGTTTTAGCACTATCAAAAAACCGCAGAATAGTCTTTATAATTGAAGACCCAAAAATAGTTATATAACGATAGTGGTTTATACATTATTCCCAAAAAAAGCGATAATTTTTTTATAATTTCTTGAATACTGAAACTATAGAAACAGAAAAGAAAAGAAATACCAACCTTGAGCACCTTCTCCATGGACTTCTTGGCCGCCGCCTGGTAGCTCCTCACATCGTCGTAGTCGGTGAGTTCGGAGACGGGGGCATAGACCACAGGTTGGTCCACGTTGGGAGCCTTGAAGCAGGACACACTGCTGTCGAAGGACTTGTCGTAGCTGCGGTGCTCATCGAAGATGGCCTTCAGCTCGTTGGGAACTGCCTCGCGGTCGATGATGCACAGGCAGTCGCTGCCCGCCAAGCTCATCAGCTTGTTCAGCCGGAGGGTGCATGGTAGAATTCTGGAGGGGCGCAACGGAATCGTTATTGATATTCATTAAGAAACATTTCAGGGTGTCTACAATATATGCAATGGCGTTTGATTGAATTGAATTTTATCATGTCACACGGGCTTTATTAACTGATGCAATAGTTCGCGTTACATAACAAGCTCCTTTTGTGTTTTAATTCAGTTTTAACAATAAAAATCCCCACTGAATAGAGAATTACTATGCCCATGACTTGGTTTACTTAGCCTTCCTTTTACCCTCATTCCTGGCGCTGAGATTATCTTAACTTTAAGTACTATAAAGAATGGCGATAAGGTTTTAAAATGACCATAATCATAATCTAATTTCTTATTGTAGTAAAGGTGTACCACTCGAAGTGTTAGCAACAATAATATTCTTTTATATTTTTGAAAATAATCTCGGTCTACCTACCATTTATCAGTCTATTTTTCCTACACACTCCTTTATCTTCCTTACATAAATTGATTTATGGTTTAAGATTTAAAAAGAAATAAATTAGGTTTATAAAAATAGTACATTTGTTACAAGTGTTAGCAACAATAGTAATATTTTATGTTTTTGAAAATAATCTTGGACTATCTACCATTTATCCGTCTTTTTTTCCGAAACACTACTTTATCTTCATCATAAACATATTTATGGTTTAAGGTTTAAAATTAAGTGTATTAAGTCTATACAAATGAACATTTATACATTTATAAATGTTATTAAGCAATAATCGTTCTCCCTATTTCACATTTACTTAAGTTCGACAAACAATGTTATCATCCTTGGCAAAGATAAAGTGCGGAATTTTCATGATATCCCCTCCACAGTTATTAAGCAAAATATGAAAATTGAGATACGGAAAGATAGTAAAAAGTGAACAACTTTTAATTTCGGTTTTGAATTGTCAAAGGAACGATAAAATGGAATGTGTCCTATGTGAACAAGTCTTAATTTCAGCTTGGACATTATGGGAACGGTACAATGCAATGTGTCCTATATGATTAACCTTCACTGTAAAAGATGGCGAATCCCGAAGAGCTTTCCCAATCGGCCGCTAAGCGTGGGCTAGATAACTAAGGCCATATAATCCCAAACACGCCCTCTAATAACAGGTAGTAATACTCACTTCTCGATACCCATGTTGAGTACTTTTTATAGGCAGCTCACGCGACTTGGTCGATCGGCAAGTGGGGCGTCACTGAACCTCAGATGGGCACAAAGCGCTGCAGCTGGAAACTGGAAACTTGGGAGCGGGATCTGGAACGGAAAGCTGGCGATAAGGAGCGGTTCTGATAACTCTCTATGGTGATTTGCAACGTTCTGGCTGGGTGGTCAAGCTTTTTATACGTTCGACAACCGCACTGGCGCTTTGGTTTTAATTGTTGTACAATAACCACTTGGGCAAAAACAAAATGCACGAGCTATGAATAATCGGCAGTATGATCGCAATGTAATACTAGAACTCGGATATAACTCGACGACAACAAAGTCAAAGTCTACTCACGTCGCTTGGTTGGGAATTGTGGGTTTCCTTTTGCCAGTCACGTCCCAGGTGGATGCAGTTTCTGGGCCAAACCAAACGCAAAAACAAAGGAGAGTCCAGGTTTTCAGAGGTAGACCAGCCGGCATGTGCAGAGCTTTCAAATGCCGGCCAGCTGACAGCTGTTAGTCGTTTGCCCGCGTTGCCAATCGATGTGAAGAGGCTGAAGAGCTTTCGGTTCGAACTTTTGATACCCTTGATTTGGTATCTAGAAAAAAAGGTTATCGGCCTGTAGTCATTATTTTTGATGTGGGTAAAGTATCATACTAATGTGTTGGAAACCGCAACTGGAATAATATACTATATATAGTTTAAGATTCTTCTGAAAATGTTCATGTTTTCCCATCTCAAAATGAAATATTTTTATAAAATCTTGTAAATCCTTACAAATTTTGTACATCTTTACAGTTTTATCTCTCCCTTTCCTTTGATATTTTTATATTTAAGATTACGAGCTTGATAAGTTATTAAGATTTTGTTACCAAAACGTTGTTTTTCTTAACATTCCCCCTCCTAGAAAGACAACTTTTAGAACAGGGAAACATTTATTCACCATTAATGAAACGCTGTATATCGTCAATGAGTTGTGGCAACTGCTTGGCCTCCAGGACCAGGAGTTTCCTGTAGGGTGTCATCACTGCATCGCCCTCCAGCCAATCCCCGGACATGCCCGAGTCCGTCTCGGAGGCCACGGAGTACTCGAAGGAGAACTTGGCCCGATCCGAGAGCAGCTCATCCTCAGCATTGGTGTAATTGTCCTCGGCTGGCTTTCCCTTCTTGGCCTCCTTCCTGTAGAACTTAACCAGGAGCAGCAGAGTGCCAAAGTCGAACTTCATTTTCTTGGCCTTGGCGGCGTCGATCTCTTGCTGCAGACTCTGCAGTAGTGGCACGGAGATCTGGGCGGGGATGTTGATGAATCGCTCGTTCACCAGGAATCCCACATGGCGCTGCTCGCTGTCCAGGAGCTCCTTCAGCTGCTGCTGCACTTGCTCCGAGGCGTGCGACTTGGCGCGATCTAGTAGATAGGTTCTCAACTGGGCGATGCTAGGCTGATCCTTCTTGGCGGTCAGATTCAGCACGGAGGTGATTCCAAAGACAGTGCCATCCTCGACCATGTTTTCGTCGTCAGTTTCGCTTTCGGCGCCCTCATCGTCGCACTGGCAGATCACACTGCCCACATAGTTTTGAGCTAGAAATACATAAAGGTTTGTTAGTGGATACTTTAGGAAAATGTGTACATATTCGTGAGTCCCAAGCAATCATTTAGGAGAAATTAATGTGTCTATAAACTTGAAATCATATTAAGATGCATACATACATATGTAAGCATATCCGGGATAGACATAGAAGGTTTAGTTATTTATGAAACAATCTACGTTTCTAATCTTTTGGAAGACTCACATATGATAAGGTCCGCCATTTGGTTGCAATTGATGTGGGCTTTAAGGAACAATCGCTGTAGCAGCTGGGAGATTCCCTGGGCATCAGGATCCACCGGAGAACGACCTTCGAAGTCGATTTGCACCTCCTAATTTGGAATTAACTTTATAAACATCTTTGCTTCTGATTTTTTGGGGACTTTGCTTACTTCGTTTCCCCTGTAAGCATCTGGATGCGGCTCGTCGTCGTCATCGTCCTCACTGGAACTGGAAACCTCATCGTTAGGGTCCACCTCCATCGTATTCAGTTTCTTTTGCTTATTCGCAGACATTTTAATGATTTAGTAAATGGAATTACTATTGTTCGGCTTCCAAATAACAATAAAATGCGGCTTAAACAGCTGATTTCTTCCACACGTGTTGCTCCGCGTTGCCAACCACATTTAGCAGCTCTGCTAAGCGTTACAGAGCTCTGTTAATCTGTAAACACGGTTAAAATATTGCTGTTATTTTAAAAGCACTAAACTACACAGGAAAAGAATTTAAAAAAATATTTCGTATTAATTACAAAAATCACTTTAAGTACATATCCAATACGTGTTTTTGCTTAGTTCATTCAAAATTGTATAGCTTAAACAAAAATACCTAGCCCCCACAAAATTTATAAGGAACAAAGAATATATTATTTTTCTTTTAATGTCAAGAAGTGTGCAAAACATGAATTATAATCATAACCATTGTTACGTATATTTAAACATTGTGTGATATCATGTGCTTCTTTGTTTCCCTCTCACTTATGAAGATATTAAACATGAATCTATGTACAAATACATAGGCTTTAATGGACAATTTGAAAGTCGAAAACTAGGATCAGAATCACGTAGCCAGCTCAATTTTTACTATCTGAGGATCGTCGCTGGTTTCAGTATCGGGTAGAACCTCCTTCTTGTTCTTAAGACGCTCCTCGTACTGCTCCTGTGTTAAAAGACTCGCCTTGATGGCATCGCAGTTCTCGATTTTGGGCAGGAGAATAGCAAAGTAGCCGGCTCCCTCGGGCAGTTGCTCCAGGAGTTTGGGCTCCTCCACCAGGGCGGTGTTGACCTCCACCAGTTTTCCCCGAATGCAGCTGGGCACCTTATAGGTCTCTCCACTTTCCGTGGTAAGCAATGCTAGGGTGGACTCCGCCTGGAGGATCATTCCGCCCTTTTTACCCTTGCCTTTAACCACATTCTGACTGCGATCTACGTTCCCGATATCGAAGTTTACCGACGAGATGCCCTGACTTAGAGCAGGATGATCGGGAGCCAAACAAATCAGGCAAATGCGATTGGAGTGGTAGAGCACCTGGTAGGGAACCTCTCCCTTAAAGTAGTAATATCTGGTAAAGAAACGATCCACAACGGTGGGGTAGTCCTCTTGGAAACCATCTGTTATGGGCGTTACAAGCTTTCCGCAGATCTCCTGTTCCTCGTGCTCGAAGTAGAAGGGCTCCAGCGGATCCTCTGATAGGACTGACATGTTGCTAGGTGGTAGATCCTGCTAATTACTCTCACCCTGGAGCAGCTTTTCCTTGTATTTTGCCTGACGTTCACGAGCTCTAGCGCGATTTGCAGCCGATCGGGCAACACGTTCGCCTTTTAGACACTTTACCACCTATTTAATAAAATAAATATTATGAATCTTATTTAAAGACCTTATTTTAGACCTACCTTATCGTCAATGGAATTGCACACGCCCACGAATTTGGCGAAGGCGTTCTGAAAGTAGGATTCCCAGTTTAGTTACCATTCCCATTCCGGTAATGTAATCCCTGATAATAACTCACATTTTCGTGGCAGGCCTGGAGTTCCTCGATCAACTTGTTGCAAGCGGGCGTGTGCAGGTGGGCGGATAGATCCGTATGCATTTTCAGCTAATTCCGGCCGGGTTTATTTCCTTTTGCTTTCCAGTTTACTAATTCTATTCTATTCGCGTGTGTTGTCAAATGTTGTTAGGTAATTTTAACATATGTTATAACATTACTAGAAATGGTCTGCTCTGGTCACATTCTGCCAGTAGCAGAAAAGTGTACTAACAGAAATACTAAATGTTAAAACGAAAACCGTTATGATTTGAAAATTTAATATTAAAATATTTTAGAATACTTCATATTCGTTTTCCTACAAATAAACTATTTTTAAATATGAATTATTTTTCATTCAAAGTTTTAAAGCTTCAGTTTACGAAGCATAAGGGCAAAGCAAGATAAATTTGGTCTATTTTCTTTATATTCAATGCTTAAGTTATATTTATTTTTTTTTTATCAAACTCCAGGATTTCAAAGTTATTATACCCTCTACAAATGGCAAGTAAAACAATTCATTGCTTGGGGTTTTCTGTTGTTTTTTTTTATTTGTGTATTTCACCCGCTCTCACAGTTCATTTTACATGGGTTTTCAGTGTGTAAAATTGATAATAGTTTTTTTTAGTTTGAGCTGCTCACGCTCGTCAACAAGTTCATTTAATTTATTTAAGTAGGTTATATCTTTATTATCGTCTTCACTGTTTGCTTTTATCAAAAAAGTCTTATCAACTACGAAAAATCGTCAGGGACAGGAACCAAAAAACTAAAAAATCAAAACTTTACGAAGTTCCATTTGCTCTAAACTCAAATCTCAGATCTCAAAATCAAAACTCTGCGCTGTTGTCCACTACTATTCAAGGAAAGAAAAGAAAAAAACTGGGCACTTGGGAATTATAACGGGATGCTAGCCGATGAGGGGTTCGTATTAGGGGGGTTATGGTATGGTGATGGATTAGAATTCGTCGATAGTTCGTCTATTAGTTATTGCTCTCAGTTATGGGTTAAGTGCTGATCTACTCGCCTAGAAAAGACTCGGTGTGTTATGTGACCTCTCTACTCGGTTAAATATGAAAGTATTCAGTGTGTGATTGTGTGTTTGGCTCTCGATATTACATTGGTTTTCCTCTCATAAAGCTCTCAGTTCGGTTAAGTTATGTTAAGTAAGTGAAAATAAAGATCTCCTGCAAGGCGGTTGAAATCAAAAGTTCTCTAAAGCAACCGTTGCTATTTCAAATCGCTCTTGCCCTCTCTCTCCCCTTTTCTCTCTCTCTCTCCCTCTTGTTAGCTCTGTCTCTCTCCCTCTCTTTCCTCAAAAACAATGTCCTTGTTTTTTGTCTTGCGCTGTTGTTCTCTACCGATTTTGGGGGGTTCTATAACATTTCTCCCTTGTCGATATTAATTCCCTATAGACGGTTACCGGTGCCGATGTCACATTCTCTCTATCTCTCGCTAAAACAAACTAAATGGCAGGTTTTCTCCTCTGGGGGAGCCAACACCTCAACTCGTCTTTTTGGGATCGGCCTGGTTCTGGGCCCCACCATCCCGTTGCTGGGCCTCGATGCTGGCCAAGGCCGCCTCGGACATCTTCTTGTACTTGCCGGCCAACTCGGGCAGCTCGTAGGCAATGGCCAGGTCCAGTTTGGTGATCGGACATCCGCGGAAATAGGTGCAGGTGTCCCTCAGCTTCTTGAACTCGTACAGTGGGTTCAGGCGGAAGAAGTCGCGATAGACCTCCGGATCCGGAAGATCGTAGCGCGAGATGTTCGTCAGCGTGGAGAGTCCCTCGTAGATGTGGTAGTTCTGCGGATGGTCGATAATGTCGTCAGCGATGCGCTTCTTGTTGCCGAACAGCGTCTTGTGGTTGTTGAACGTGTTCAGGTA